AAACCTGAGAAGTTGTTCCATATAATTAATTATTAGGGAAATGCTCATTAAACCACAATGCAATACCAAACACACTCGTTAGAGTAACTGAACTTAGATACAAGTACTGGCAAGAATGTGGAGAAACTGGAACACTTGTACCCTACTTGTGGGAGTGTAAATGGATATAATCACTTTAGAAAACTGTTCAGCATCATCTACTAAAATTAAACATATTACCACTTGCCCAAGCAATTTGTCTTCTACTGGAAATAGGGTTCCATATCAACAATGTGTTATTTGCTATGAACATCCTGAAACCTCACTTTCTCATATAAATATTAATTTTTAAGTATGAAATAACAACTGGCTTTTTGAAATGCAAGATGCAAGAATTATAGCCACTGGATCATGGAATGAAATTTTTTGGTCTATTTTTTATGCCAACAGGTAGTTAAATATCATTCTATATTTCAATATACACTAGGTCCCCAAACTAATAAGCATGACATAATGGCACTTCAGAATTTATTGTTGACAACATACATGAACCTCAAAAATATGCTCAGCAAAAAGAAGCCAGATAGTAAAGAATATACGTTGTATATTAAAACATTGTGTATTTAAACACGTTTCAAGAATAGGCAAAACTAACCCATGATGATATAAATCAGAAATGATGTTTCCTTTGAGTAGAAAAGAACATGAGAGAACTTTCCAGGATTATGGCAATGCTTGCTGTACCTTGACTGGGGTGTTAGTTAATGGGTGTATGAATTTATCAAAATTCATCAAGTGGTACACTTAGTATCTGTGCATTTTACTGTATGTAACTACAAGTATCCTCCACTTTTTGAAAATTTGCCTTATGCTGCTTCCATTTTAAGAAAAACCTATATTAGTATGTTTTTGCTAATTGAAAGAAATCTACAGAGGATTTTTATTTTTATGGGGGAAACAAAGGCAAAAAGCATTCAACATTTGTTTTGTGGCGAGTTATTGTAGAAGCAGCACGCACTCCAGCAGCAAGAATGCCCTGCCACACAGCTTCCCTGAGAACTACACTCAGCATCTCATCATCAGGCCGTCATAGCTTTGAAAGGTGTCTGTGAGCATCTGCGTTTTATCTCAATTTATTCTACGTATCCATTAGAAAGATATGTGCTAAGGTAATCGCTTCTCTTTGTGTCATTTTGGCTTATAAAAGGTTTCATAGACTCACTCTACTTTTCTTTGTTGTTGTTTTAATTTTTTTATTGTGGTAAAAGTCAAGGGGAACCTGTGTACCTGAATAAAAAGTAGGATTGTTGAAAAAAATAGCTTCTTCTTACATAAATATGTAGTGAGAATTTTTTTTTATGTAGAAGAGCAGCATGGAATAAGTTATACTCCACTTTGTGTTTATTGCTGCATTCTTCTTTGAGAGAAACTGATGTTTCCCCTAACCAAAAAAGGTAGCCAGGAATGTGTTCTTACCATCTTGTTTCTCCTAATCCAGAGTAGGGAGCTAGTTTTTGGGTGCTGAAAAGATTGGTTGGAACTTCCAGTGTATGATATAGCTCAATATGTGAGATAACCCTCATATAAAACTAGGCCTGTGGAGGATTTTAAGTTGAATTGTGCCAGAGGTCTAGTGTTTGGTGCTTCTGGAGTTAAGAAGAGATGAGCTGACTCACTGAAACTGGGAAACAACAGGGACACTACAGGTTTGCTGGGCAGTGAGGCCCTCAGCCTGATGCAATTTATTCCTCCTGCTCTTAAGAGCTCAGATATAGTGGACTGGGGGCTTTGGCAAAGGTCTCTGTGATCAAGCTTGGCACACAACTGCAATTTTTGCCTTCAGGTGGCAAAGAAGAAAAGCAACATCTGTTTCCATAGCTAAAGACCTGCCCTCTGCTATTTTGGATAAATTGCACCCACTCCAAGGTTCTCATATGGCACACAGATTGGGGAAGAAAAACAGATACTAGACTTTGTGCCAAGCTAGGTGATAGGAAGTTTAAGCTGGATTGTATTTGATGTAGACAAAGAAATACATTTGCCATTTTTCATACCTAAAGGTGGGGGGGGTTCATATCTGTTAAGTTAAAGTCAATTAAATGTCATGCATCACTTGTTACATGAGAAAAGGTGAACATTTATCTATAACAGATGATATTAAAATGAACTTTGCAATTTTAAGAAAACACAGTGTTGTAAAATGAAATATTATTTATCCCAAATCGCTTAAATATTATGAAAAAGTGATGAAACAATTTTTAAATTTTGGCAAAGAAGTTTGAAAGTAAAAATGTTTAAGAAATGCTGCTGCAGGCAGTGGGATGCTGAGAAATTTTTGTTAGTTTCTTTTTGTTTGTTTGTTTTTGGCCATGCCAGGAGACATGTGGGATCTTAGCTTCCCAACCAGGGATCAAATGTGTACCCCTTGCACTGGAAGTGCACAGTCTTAACCTCCGGACTGCCAGGGAAGTCCCTATCAGTTTCTTGAGTTACTTTTAGTGGAGTGGCACAATCAGCTTTGGGAGGTTTTGTGTGTGCTCTCATGTTGTTTTGTAGAGCCAGGGTCTATGCTCTTAGGCTGGAAAACATTTGTAGGAGACCACTTAGAGACTGAAAACAGTTCAAGAGGAATTGTAGTTAAAACATCGACACTGAATCTGGATTGCCACACTTGAGAAATGTTTTTGAGAAAAAAAATTAAAAGGACTTTGTGGCCAAATACATAGACAGCCACTATCTATCTCCAAGATTTAAAGTCTAGGTTAGTGCCTCCCAACGGAATATTCTATGATGATGGAAATCATCCTATCTGAACACTTGAATGCAGGTAGTGCAATTAAGGAACCAAATTTTAAATTTTATTTAATTTTGGTTAATTTAAATTTAAATGGCCACATGTAGCCAACAGACATTAGACTGGATAGCCCAAGTCTAGACTATTAATTTGAGAAGCTTGATTAATATCTCCACATTACATACATTTTCTGTCTCCTGCTACACTTGTAACTTTTGTCAGATGTTTCCTGTGTTGTTTAAAATGCCATCTTTTCAATCATTCAGGGTTAAAACTGAGAAGCCATTCTTTCCTTTCGCAAACCTATGTGGAGTGCTTACTATGTGAAAGGTAGTATACCAGGCATAGAGGATACAAAGATGAATATAGTCCTCGTAGGAAAATGATGATAATGTTTATAGTCAACTCTTCGTATTTAAGGTTCAATCAGGAAAAAAGACTCGGTCTCTTCGCTTTCTTTTTTTGTCCTTATTTTGGTCACATAGTGTGACAAGATCTTTGTTCTTCCACCAGGGCTCAAACTCATGCTCCCTTCAGTGGAAGCTCAGAGTTCTAACCATTGGAATTTCCCCCCTTCACTCTTTCTGCCTTGCTTCCTACATCCACATTTTCACCCGAGGCCCTTATCCTTTTACAGCCCAGAGGGCAGATTTTCGTTCCTTCCATCTTGTTCCTTCCATTAACTTCATCCGTGGTTCCCAGAGGAATGCCTTGTACATGGTGTTGGTGGCAGTTGATAAACGCTGGGGGAGTGAATCAAGGTCCTGTTTCCCATCTTGCTACTCTGATTCACTTCCTTTTCTCTCCTCACTACATTTTAAACGTAGCCTCCTATTGGTTTAACCAAGCCAGAGAACTACCGTAGACACTCACTGGGCTGTGCTGTGCTAAGTCACTTCAGTCGTGTCCAACTCTTTGGGACCCCACGGACTGTAACCCACCAGGCTCCCCTGTCCCTAGAATTCTCCAGGCAATTCTACTGGAGCGGGTAGCCATTCCCTTCTCCAGGGGATCTTCCCAGCCCAGGGATCAAACCCAGGTCTCCCGCATTGCAGGTGGATTCTTCACCAGCTGAGGCACTAGGGAAGCACTCCCTGGAGGTATGTAAAGCCTCACATCCAAAGTATGGTACTTGGGACTTCTCTGGCATCCAGTGGTTAGGACTTGGTGACTAACAGGGTTCAATCCCTGCTCATGGAACTAAGATTTCTGCCAGGCAACGTAGCCAAAAACCAAAACAAAACACCAAACAAGTACAAATACAAATAAAAAACCCAACGTATGGTGCTCAGTTTAACAGCAGTAGCATCACCTGGGAGCTCCTTAGAATTGCAGACTCTCAATCCCTTCCCCTGACTACTGAATCAGAATCTGCTTTTTAATTAGACTCCCAGGTGATAAGTTTGAGGGAAAAAGCTTAAATTTTTTAAAGTTTAAATTCTGTTTAGATAGCACAGATCTTTAGATGGCACAGATCTAAGCACACTTTCACCTGGCTTTAAAATCTTTAATATCTTTCAATTGCAGACAGAGTAGTATTTATGCCAACTATTCAGTCTGGCATTTGAATCCCTCTACAAGGGGACTTCTAACTTCTTTCCTCTTTCTAACCTCTTTTCCTCTGTTTTCCCCAAACCGTTCTCTACACTTCTACACTCCATTCAGGTAGGTGTCTTCACCTCTCTTCAAAACACTCCTAACACTCTTCTGCTTCCCTTGCTCTCCCCCAATCAATTCCTTCTGTCCAGAAAGTCATCCATTACCCTCCTCCCCCCATCCTATCCACTTTTAAAATCCTATCCTTCCTCTGAAACACAACTCAAACCTAAGCTGCCCCCAAAGATATTTTATAGATCTTACAATACTCTTTACCTCTCATCTCTTTAGCAATATTTATACATCTATTAACTCATCCCTTTCTCTTTCCTTGGGCTATATGTATATCTGTCTGACTGTCTCCCCCGCTACACCTTGAAAAGGTGGAGATGGTGTTTTATTCTTCTTCAATGCCCAGTATGCTGCCATATATAATAGGTGCTCAAGGTTTGTTGAAATGAATTGAAAGGAAAAGGACTGAGAGTGACTTATAGGAAGACATCCATAGGCACTATCTCAACTCCCCTCTTTCCACTGTCAATTCCTCCCACAGGCCAAGATTAGGAATTTCTATGTCTCCAGGAGCAAAGGCAAGGAGCAGATAATTTCAAGAGATTGTTGCATCACGTACCTCCGAGCATGTCTTGGCTGCCACCTGTTCCCTATTCTGTTTCCCAGAAAACAGCATCCAAAGCCCCCAGACAAGGGAACCAAATAATAGTAGAAGGCTGACATATGGTGGCAGTGGGATGGTGAGCCCCCAAATCAGAGCCATTACTCAACCCCATGCCCGTATCAGCCAAACAGTTTTATCCTTCAAGGCTGTAACTCCATATGACGTCACAATGGGCATCCCAAGAGTCCAGCCAATGTGCTTGCTGCTTGAGTCTCTTCTCTGAGTCATACATCTGCTGCCCTTTTCTGCAGCTGCCTTTGTGCCCTGCTCTGACAGCCAGTGCTCAAGGAAGCTCCTTTATGATTCTTCTAGAATTGGACTGCACCATTTGTTATAGACCAGAGAATATGTGGCAAGGTTTCAAAAGAGCAAGCCTTCCAAATGGCATGCCCTTCCCTGTAAGTGTCTTCTCTGGAGCCAGTTACTCCCTAGAGGTCCAGGTATGGTGCCATATGTTTCAAACCAGACGTTAGAATACAAGGTCAAGCACATTTAAGAAAGCTAGAATACTTTAAGTAGGTACTCTCAGAAAATGTGTGATATATGGTTTCCTAATCCGATGCTTGACACATTTCCTAGTTGTTATTGCATTGAGACAGAGAAAAGATATCACATAGAGAAATTAAATGAACTTAGAGGATCACTCTACTCTAAGTCTGTAACATTTTCCAAGTCTATAACTTTCATTTTGTCATCACATCCAGAACTGACTGGATTTTCTAGAGCTAATTCACTGAAAACAAAATTTACAAGGAATCAACCCATGCTATTCAGTTCAGTTCAGTTCAGTCGCTCAGTCGTGTCCGACTCTTTGCGACCCCGTGAACTGCAGCACTCCAGGTCTCCCTGTTCATCACCAACTCCTGGTGTTTACCCAAACTCATGTCCATTGAGTCGGTGATGCCATCTAACCATCTCATGCTGTCATCCCCTTCTTCTCCCGCTCTCAATCTTTCCCAGCATCAGGGTCTTTTCAAATGAGTCAGATCTTCCCATCAGGTGGCCAAAGTATTGGAGTTTCAGCTTCAACATCAGTCCTTCCAATGAACACCCAGCACTGATCTCCTGTAGGATGGACTGGTTGGATCTCCTTGCAGTCCAAGGGACTCTCAAGAGTCTTCTCCAACACCACAGTTCAAAAGCATCGATTCTTCAGTGCTCAGCTTTCTTTATAATACAACTCTCAAATCCATACATGACCCCTGGAAAAACCATAGCCTTGACTACGCGGACCTTTGTTGACAAAGTAATGTTTCTGCTTTTTAATATGCTGTCTAGGTTGGTCATAACTTTCCTTCCAAAGAGTAAGCGTCTTTTAATTTCATGGCTGCAATCATCATCTGCAGTGATTTTGGAGCCCAGAAAAATAAAGTCAGCCACTGTTTCCACTGTTCCCCCATCCATTTGCCATGAAGTGAAGGGACCAGATGCCATGATCTTAGTTTTCTGAATGTGGAGCTTTAAGCCAACTTTTTCACTCTCCTCTGTCACTTTCATCAAGAGGCTCTTTAGTTCTTCTTCACTTTCTGCCATAAGGGTGGTGTCATCTGCATATCTGAGGTTATTGATATTTCTCCCAGCAGTCTTGATTCCAGCTTGTGCTTCCTCCAGCCCAGTGTTTCTCATGATGTACTCTGCATATAAGTTAAATAAGCAGTGTGACAATATACAGCCTTGATGTACTCCTTTTCCTATTTGGAACCAGTTTGCTGTTCCATGTCCAATTCTAATTGTTGCTTCCTGACCTGCATACAGGTTTCTCAAGAGGCAGGTCAGGTGGTCTGGTATCCCCATCTCTTTCAGAATTTTCCACAGTTTATTGTGATCCACATAGTCAAAGGCTTTGGCATAGTCAATCAAGCAGAAATAGATGTTCTTCTGGAACTCCGTTGCTTTTTCGATGATCCAGCGGATGTTAGCAATTTGATCTCTGGTTCCTCTGCCTTTTCTAAAACCAGCTTGAACATCTGGAAGTTCACAGTTCACGTATTGCTGAAGCCTGGCTTGGAGAATTTTGAGCATTACTTTACTAGCATGTGAGATGAGTTCAATCGTGCAGTAGTTTGAGCATTCTTTGGCATTGTCTTTCTTTGGGATTTGAATGAAAACTGACCTTTTCCAGTCCTGTGGCCACTGCTGAGTTTTCCAACTTTGCTGACATATTGAGTGCAGCACTTTCACAGCATCATCTTTTAGGATTTGAAATAGCTCAACAGGAATTCCATTACCTCCACTAGCTTTGTTCCTAGTGATGCTTCCTAAGGCCCACTTGACTTCACACTCTAGGATGTCTGGCTCTAGGTGGGTGATCACACCATCATGATTATCTGGGTCATGAAGATCTGTTTTGTGTAGTTCTGTGTATTCTTGCCACCTCGTCTTAATATCTTCTGCTTCTGTTAGGTCCATACCATGTCTGTCCTTTATTGAACCCATCTTTGCATGAAATGTTCCCTTAGTATCTCTAATTTTCTTGAAGAGATCTCCAGTCTTTCCCATTCTATTGTTTTCCTCTATTTTTTTGCATTGATCGCTGAGGAAGACTTTCTTATCTCTCCTTGCTATTCTTTGGAACTCTGCATTGAAATGGGTATACTTTCCTTTTTTACTTTGCTTTTTGCTTCTCTTCTTTTCACAGCTATTTATAAGGCCTCCTCAGACAGACATTTTACTTTTCTGCATTTCTTTTTCTTGGGGATGGTCTTGATCCCTGTATCCTGTACAATGTCACGAACCTCCATCCAAAGTTCATCAGGCACTCTGTCTATCAGATCTAGTCACTTTAATCTATTTCTCACTTCCACTGTATAATCATAAGGGACTTGATTTAGGTCATACCTGAATGGTCTAGTAGATAACAAATATAAATAAAACTGGCCAGGGCATTTTTTTTCTTATAGGAAAATTCATTTGGAAAAAAAATGCAATAACTGTTGAATAGTAGGCCTTGTCTTAAAAGAAGACAGACATGGTCTCTCACCTCATAGAACTTTCAGTCTATTGAGGCAGCCAAAATAATATTCTTGAAAAGCCCATCAACAAGGACCTGGTTAAGTAAATGTGATATATCCGTATTACGAAATACTCTGCAATCACCACAAAGATTATAAGGAATGAAGCCTGTCATAAGAGCACACATTATGTGACAGGTACTGCATTTCTAAAAAAAAAGATTAGGGGTGGAGGTAGTTTCGGGGTCTTAACACATGTGTATATCTCAACAAGAACTTTTTCTATATAAATATATTTCTATAAAAATATATTTTTGTGTCTTAAATATTCACTCACCATTTTGAGTCATTCATGCTATTTTGTAAAGCTGAGATTCATTCACATTATTATTGCATTGCATTATATAGCTAATATATGGAGCAGTATATAGCTATTCCATAATTTTTTAATCCATTTTAATGTTGATGGACATTTGGCTTGTTTCCCATTTTGGCCATTATCAACAATGCTATTAAAAACATCCTTGTCCATGTGTCTTGCTGCTGCTGCTGCTGCTGCTGCTAAGTCGCTTCAGTCATGTCCAACTCTGTGCGACCCCATAGACGGCAGCCCACCAGGCTCCCCCGCCCCTGGGATTTTCCAGGCAAGAACACTGGAGTGGGTTGCCATTTCCTTCTCCAATGCATGAAAGTGAAAAGTGAAAGTGAAGTTGCTCAGTCGTGTCCGACTGTTAGGGACCCCATGGACTGCAGCCTACCAGGCTCCTCTGTCCGTGGGATTTTCCAGGCAAGAGTACTGGAGTGGGTTGCCATTGCCTTCTCCTGTCCATGTGTCTTAGTGAACATATATTCCTATTTCTCTATGGCAGTGGTTTAACATGTATCAGAGTCATCTGGAGGGCTTGTTAAACCACAGATTGCAGGACGCTGATTGCTGATTAAGTTGGACTGGAGCCCAGGAATTTGGCATTTCTAATAAGTTTCCAGGTGATACTGATGATGTTGGTCCAAGAACTATACTTTGAGGATCTCTGATCAAAGTATCGATCTAGTAATGATATTGCTAGGTTATAGTGTAGGTATAACTCAACCTTGAAGACAGTGCCAAACTGTCTTTCCTAAGTGGTTATATAAATTAATAGTTCCCCCATGGTGAGTGGCAGTTCTTCTTGCTTTCTTTTTCATGACAACATGTGGTATTGTCAGGCTGTTTTTGTTTTGTTTTGTCTCCTGCTCAATCATGTTCAACTCTTTGTTATACTGTGGACTGTAGCCTGTAGGCTTTCTGTCCATGGGATTGTCAGTCAGGCTGTTTCAGCTCAGTTCAGTTGCTCAGTCGTGTCTGACTCTTTGTGACTGTCAGGCTGTTTAGTTTGGGCCATTTAGGGATATATGGTAATGATATTTCATAGTGGTTGTAACTTAAATTTTTCTTATTACTAATAATTACTAATTATTACTAATTACTAATTATTATTATTACTAATAATAATCACTAATTGTGAACACATCTTCATAAATAAATTGAGAATTGTCGTTAAATGTACTGCTACATTCCAATTGAATTTGTTTAGGATTTTTGTGACCTATTTACTAGGATGAGACCAGCCTGTGATTTTCTTCTCTTGTTCTGTCTTTGTCAGGATTTTGATATCAAGGTTATGCTTATGTTTCCTTTTTCTTTACACTCTAAAAGAGTTTGTATGAGATGGAACTATTTGATACTTCAGTGATTGTACAACTAGGCAGCAAAACCATACAAGCCTGGAGTTTTCTGTAAGTGAGGATTTTTGACTACAGATTCAATTTATTTGAAGGTTATAATACAACTGAGAATTTGTTTGGGGATTTTTTTTTTTCTTTTGGACTGAGCTGTGGAGAGCTGTTCAGTTCAGTTCAGTTGCTCAGTCGTGTCCAACTCTTTGCGACCCCATGGACTTCAGCATGCCAGGCTTCCCTGTCCATCACCAACTCCTGGAAGCCACTCAAACTCATGTCCATCGTGTCGGTGATACCATCCAACCATCTCATCTTCTGTCATCCCCTTCTCTTCCCGCCTTCAATCTTTCCCAGCATCAAGCTCTTTTCCAATGAGTTAGTTCTTCACATCAGGTGACCAAAGTATTGGAGTTTCAGCTTCAGCATCAG